CTCTCTATTTTTTATGATTCGCCAGAATACTTAAAGTTAGATTGTCTAAAAGAGAGAAGAAACGGGTAGATTTTTTTGTAATAACAATAAATCCTTATGCTTAGAAAAAAATTGCGAGTATGTCTTCTTTACCTCATTCTAATGCCTCATCCGAGCGCATTTTTAGCCTGATGAGGACTGTCTAGAAAAAGGATTACTTTAACAACATTATAGGCCGAGCTAAAGGTTAAACAAATTTATAATATGTCATTCCAGAAATTTTATAAATATCTCAATAACGACGGTAAACGTTTAGTTCCATTATTTAAATCTCAAATAAAATATATTTAACATTATATTTAATTTTCAATATTTTTGTATTTATACATTCGCATAAAATAAATATATTTTTTACATTGTAAATCAATAATAGAGAGCATTACAATATCCTCAAACAAGACATCAATGTCTATCTGTATTTTTAAAATATTTGAACATTTTAATAGGTTTAGCAATGGCGCCATAAAATTTATTGTCAATTTTTAACTGTAAAGAAAAACACATCTGCAGCATAATTTTGTGAATCTTTGTTAAGATTATTCTGATTGCAACTGCACATTAACAGTATGTAGTAGATTTCCTACATGTGAAATCACCTAAATATACCTCTGCCATTCATTACTGAAAAAAATTTTCAAAATGTTAGGACAGCTTTTATAATCTTTATTTAGGAAATATTTATAGGTTTATAAAATTTTAAAATTCTATAAGATGGCGGGTATTAGGAACATATCGCAACCAACATACTGACTCAATTCTGTAAATACACTCTGGTTTTTTCCAAATTCACTGAGGCATTATCAGATCAGAAAGTTGACATGTAATTTATTAATAATCCCGAATCTGCTATATTTACCATTATATGGTTATGTCTTTGGATTTTTCACTATTTGAGGGGAAAAATAATTTTGTTGAAATAGCGAAGGATCAAAAGAAATATTTTAATATTTCCCTTATTAGTTGCATCTGTTAGAATTGCATATGTATGCCCATCTTTTAAATCGTCAAGAATTGACCTCCTGAATTCAGATTCTAAAACATTGATGATATCCTTGCTCATTTTTGTTTTACAAGTAAAGTTTTTATTTATCTTGGAGTTGTTAAATATTATGAGGAAAGATTCCACCTACATTGTAATGATCTGTGAATGTTGTACTACAAGATAAGTGATTACAATTGCTGCAACCGTAGTTGAATCTGTATTATTTCTTATTTTTGTAGAATATTTTTGTTTTGCAATGGATGTAGATACACTCTCCTGCACTGATTATAATAACTAGTAGAAAGCCTGTCAAAAGACGGGGAATGAGATTTTATTCATTTTTTACGATAGATGGCATGCCAGGTTCAAGCTCACAATATTAGGAAGCATCCCAGATCTTCTAATTTTAAAAAGGTTTATCAAGCCCAGTTCAACCCTTAATAATTTGTAAAAGATATTCCCAAGTCAGGTGCAAGCTAATACTAATTTTGAGGTTCCAAGCCCAGTTCTACCCATTATAATTTTGAAAATTTTTTCTCGCCTCGGAGATAGTTAAATTTTTATGCTTGAATATGAGTTGAATTAAGAATTAAATGATATTTATTTTTTGATAAGCCCAGCTTTCGGCTGGAGTGTGTAGCCTGAGGTAGGGAAATAAGAGAAAATTAAATGGAAAAAAAATAGGGAAATTAAAAGGGAAAGGAAGGTAAAGAAAAAGAAAATTAAAAGGTGAAGTTAAAAAATGGAAATGATGAGAAAGGGGAAGATAATAAAAGAAATTAAAAGGGAAAGAAAGAAAAAGATTTTGTATTTTTTAAATTTTGATTATTCCCATATTATTTGAGACTGTTGTAATAATGAATGTTAGTGATATGTTTAGTAGGGATACATATGTTGTCTGCATAGCATAATCAGTCTACATTTTGTATGATACTGTAAACTATTCTTTGAGTTAAAATATATATTTTATAAAAATATTTACATAAGACTAACATTTAACATTAAAAAATCCCAATCTAGGTTCAAGTCTACAATATCTGGAAAAAATATCCAAGATCTTAATAATTTAAAATGATTAAAATGATTTTCTCAAGCCCACCTCAATCCTTAATAATTTTGAAACCAAGCCCAGAGATATTAAACTTATAATTAATGAAGGGGAAATCTCTGATTTACCAATTAGTCTACGGGTAAAATATATTACTTTATAAAAATAATAACATAAGACTAACATTTAACATTAAAAAATCCCAATATAGGTTCAAGCCTACAATATTTGGAAAAAATTTCCAAGCATCCAAGATCTTAATAATTTAAAAAGATATTCCCAAGCCCATATTAATCCCTTCTTTGAAAACCAAGCCAATATTAATTTTGAGTAATATTTTTTTAAGCCCAGTCCAACCCATAATAATTTTGAAAAAATTTTCCCAAGCCTAGAGATATTAAATTTATTGAATTAATTCAGTTAAAATTTAAGTTATAGGATCATCTGTTTATATAAAATAAATAAATAAAATCAACAATAGTAAATAATGTATTACTTTTTGGTTTTAATATGGACTCACAGTTGCATAGAAAATTTAAGTTATAGGATCATCTGTTTGTATAAAATAAATAAATAAAATCAACAAATAAAAAATAAATAAATACGTACCGATGACATGACGTAACAATGACATGACGTCACGATGACGTAGTAAAGACATCGGAAAATTATAATATAGAAGTGATTGAACAATAATAAATAAAATAATTATCATTGAAATGAGTACAATATTACCTTATTATATATTTAAACGTGATACGTGATAATTAAGCGCCTATCCCTATAATGTCACACACGCAAGGTAGATTTCTAATTGCGGATGTTTTACGGGACATTCGCATAAAATATATTTTTTACATTGCAAAATTAAAATCGTTTGTTTTTTATATAAAATTTTATCTTGTTTACATTCTTTTTTATAAATTAATATATTTTAATAAATCAAGATGTTATTTTATTTTGAAAAATAGTTACCGAATTTGTATTTATATAAACTAATTATAAAAAATAATAGGCGGATAATTAAGTCAATTCAAAATCCCGGCCCAGCCGGGATTTTATGGGCCTTTTTTAGCAAATTTTTTATTTCTACCGCAATTTTCATATTTCTCCCACAAAATAACAAATTTCTCCCGCCATTTGAAAATTTTGACCTGGCAACCCTGCTCAAGATGGTAACCCATATCAGAATTTATTGTGTTAGATAAATTGATAACATAAAAACACTAAAAACCTTTAGAAGAAATTATGCAAATATATTGAAGCTGAGTTATTTACGCGGCAAAAATGCCATATTAGAAATGAAACATTTTGTAACTACAAAATAAGAACCAGAGTGATATCATGAAAGCAATTAAAATTTATATATTAATCGCACCATCTCTAGTTGGTACATTATATCTTAAAATAATAGTAGTTTATAATAATATCAAAAATATATTCGTATTAAAAATTTAACTCAAATCTATATTCTGAAGAAGAAGAAAATAGCTTTCCTAAAACAAGTAAAAAGAGAAGAAAAGATATCTAATTTATTACATCCATTCCATTGTGAGATAAATAATAATATGTTTAATTTAAATTATAAATAAATAGATGGCGTTAAATATTTGTAAGCAAATTGTTACTTATATTTATTATCAAAAGCATTTATTAGTAAAATTTTAAAAATATTAACTGTAATATATTATATAACTGTCAGATACGTCTGTAAAAGTGGCATTTTACCTAATATTTTATAAATATAATAGAGGATTATAAACTATATGTCTACTTACTTTTTATAAATAAATCTCTTATATTTATTTGGATTTGGAGCTTGAAAATAATTTTAGGAAGAGACATAATAATTTAAAAATCAATAATATAGTTGAATAGTGATTTTGAACTCGGCTAAAATATTAAATTATTAATTTTCAATTAATAAATGATTATATTTATTTAATTAGGGTTATATAATAATTTAAATAAAAAAAGTCAATTAAGTTTCAACTGTTAATGCTAAATTAATATTTAGTGAGTGATATTGTTATATTTTTAACATAGAATTTGATTGCAAGCTGACATAGTACATTTATATGTAATAATCTAATCTAATAATTAAAATAGTATTCATTTAATAAAAATTAAGATAGTCTTATTAATTTTTTAATAAAATTAAATCTATATATTACTTAATAAAATTATAAAGGAAATTATTCAGAGGGCAATTAAAAACATTTATTTTTAGCTCCAGGGGATATTAAGGAGCCATTAAAAAAAATTTTTTGCTTCAGGGGGCTATTCAAACTTTTCAGGGGGCTCGAGCCCCTGCGCCCCCCCCCCTAGCGACGCCTCTGGTACAAATACAATCACTTATCAATAAAACTAGTTCTTTATATCCAACGTTGATGATAATCAATAATCCATTCCATGTTCAATCCGTCGTACTGGAAAAAATCGAACATGTCCCTAAGAGTTCAAATTGAATACATTAAAAAGATAAGGAAAAAAAATATTAAAAAAAGTCGAGGTTTATATGACTTTTTAGGATTCAAAAAAAGAAATAACTTATAGATGTCAAATAGAAACCCTCACACTTATTTTATCGTATTTGCAATATATTTTAAATAAATAATAATACATGTTTTTATACATACACATTCGATTATATCTTACACCTCTAACATATGGATTCAGATATTCTTAAATCATATTATTGATATGTTTATTCTATGAATTTATAAATAGATAAGATTACTAAATTTATATTTTTTTTATAATACTCATTACTAAATCTCACTATTACATCGGAAAGGGTAAGCTTTACTCATTTTTGTTAAAATACAACTGGGTACAAGGTTTATTGGTATCCTTGAGAAAAAAATCGGCATAATTTTATGAAGGGTTAGACTTCATAATATTTTTGGTCAATTTGGGCAGGTCTATAACTAACGTGCTAGATAAGATATAAGTACATGTTTTTGAAAGCATTTAATAAACTTATAAGAAGCAAATTTGATTCATTTTATCAAAATAAAAATGCTATATTAAAGGGAACAGATGTCAAAGGAAATGTCTTTTATGAAAAGGAAGGTTTTTATGTTAATAAATAAAATAATGAAATATAGTTAATGGAAAGAAAAGAAGGTATTTTGAACCTCTTAATAATAAGGATGAATATAGTCCAGTTGAGCTAGACATTGAATGGGAATGTAATTATGATTTATTATATTAAAAAATATTTTATATAGCCTGGTTGAGAAACAAAAGAGAAAATCCTCCGTCTAAAGAGGTAGTTAAATTTTTATAGCTTATAATATTTTTAGAATAGGAAATTAAAAACAGGATAAATGAGACATTAATAATAAAAAAAAGAGTAGAATTATTAAATAAAAAACAGGTAATTATTTTATGATAATTATTTTCAATAATTATATTATATTTAAATCAAAACTATATTTAGATATATGAGATATTAAATTATAAATCTAATATATTTTTACATTATTTTAAAATTGTAATATAATTTTTACATAACTGTTTTAACAAATTATTTAAAAATCCTATTTCATGTATGGACCATTCCATGTCAAATCAATCAAAGGAGCCCCATTTTCAGCTGACTCCTTTTATAATTGTTACAAATTGCTAGAATATTTCATCTATAAGAAATAAAAGCCATTTATTTTAGCTTGCTAGCACCTTGTTCTTGAGATATAGAGCCTCAAAGGTGCAAAAAATATAGATTTTTATACCTCTAAAATTTTTAACAGGGTCCAGATCACACTTTAATCTTTTTTATATAAAGCCAGGTCAATTTTTTTATAAAAATACATGGGCTAGGCCTATTTTTTTTAAAAAAAATGCCTAGGCTTAATCAAATATTTAAATTAGAAATCTGCAAAGTTTGGCTCGGCCTTTGGGCTGAGCTCAGGCCTATTTTATTTAAAATCGGGTTTAGGCTGGGCCTAATATTTAAAAAATTTTTTTTAATCGGGTTGGGTTGAACCTTGGAATTTTTTTAAAATATATCTAAATTTATCAATTATATATTGAATTTTTTATGTAAAATAAAAATATTTGATTTTATTTATTGAAACTAAACAACATATAACATATGTCTTTTATTTTGATTAATTATAAAATTTAATTTCTATATTTAAATAAATTCGGGCCGGACCGGGTTGGTAAATTTTTTTAAAAAAATTTTGGGTTAGGGTTGGGCCGGCAAAGTTTTTTTAAAAAAATTTTGGGTTTGGGCGGGGCGGCAAAACCTTTTAAAAAAAATTTTGGGCCAGGCTGGGCTTGAAAAATTAGGCCCGATGCAGATCACTAATTTAAAGCACAACTTGAAATCAACAAATATTCCTTCTATGCTGGAACCCTGGCCTCAGCCGTGTTAATCAAACCAGACCTGATGGAATGATGCTAGTCCGTTGGAGCCAAGGTATACCCCTTGCTTGGGATTATACATGTGTAGATCCTTTTGCCAGATCTTTTTCTGTCAACTCCATTACTAAAGCTGAAAATACAAAAACAAATAAATATAGCCACCTTAATAATCTTTTGTTTGTTCCAGTAGTCTCAGACATCTGTGAATCATTTAGACCCCAAGTCTTAAAATTATATAAAACATTAGGGCAAAGGTTATGTTTAATCACAGGTGATCCAAAAGAAGGCTTCTACTTATGACAAAGAATATCAATCGAAATTTGTCGATCCAATTGTATATATATACCTGGGTCATTAAACCCCACCGACCATACCTAAATATATTATTATTATATTTTTTAATTTCTCTTCTTTTAATTTTATATTTTTATATTTTTATATAGATATAAAATGTTAATTATATTTTAATATTCTCTTTTAATAATATACGTTGAGAAGAAAAATTATTATCTATTAAAATTAAAATTAAAAATAAATAAAATATATTTAAAAAGTTGGACATGCCAAAAATTATTTTTAAAAATAAATTTGGGTTAGGCCTAAAAATATAAAACCATATGCAAATGATACCCCTTTCTAAATATTTTATTATAAAAAGTGAAAATATTCTGTTATTGGTAAGTTAGCAACAATTAACCATAATGGAAAGCACCATCTATTTTATGCAAGAGTTTCAATTTTTGGTAATTGGAAGAGAAAGGCAAAATTATTCTCGAGAACCAACTCCCCTTATTGATTAAAAATATAGTTAACTTTTTTCTTTTAATAGAACTTTAGAGATTTTTTTTATCTATTTTATGATATATTATAGTGTTGTTAAAAGCTACTTTTTAAACTTAACTTGGTTACATTCATAAAAAGGTAACTAGTTAAAATTAGTTACATATTTTGAAATATAACTAGGTACTACAGTTATATTTCAAAAATAACTAGTTACTTACTTTATAAATCATCTATATAATGCATCACTTTTATTTATATAATATAAAAAAAATTATGATTTATACATCTTAATCAATAGTATTTAAAAGAAAATATACAAAATTTTTAAAAAATTTACTATTTATTTATATAAAAATAAAATTACACTAAAAGAAAATATGGAGAATAAAATGTATTTACGCTGAAATTAAATTATTTTTTTTTATAAAAATTTGGGCTAGTAAATTTTAATTTACCTTTAATAATAAACTATTTTAAAAATTTCTGTCTAAAGGATGCACTTGTTTCTCTTCAAAAAGTAGCCTCCCATAGAGTGAAAAAACGTTCTTGGTATGAGGACAACATTATATTTAATAAGAAGTAATAATTTAATTTCTTTTTAATTAGTTCAGATGATGGCTCAGTTTATTTTAATTCCACAAAGGTTGGCATTTTCATATGGTAATGTTATATACTTTCTTACAATTAATAATATAAAAAGATCTTATTAGCATCTTATGTTGCTACTAAGTATAATGTATAACAATAATATCATCATTCAATGGGAAGGTAGTCAAAGTTAATTTTAATTATTAAGTTTAATTTAATAGAAAATTCTATATAATATTTAGATAAACAAAAATCTTGTTACATGCATTAAGACATATTATGTGAAAATATTCTAATAAAGATGTGTATCCATAGCTTGGCTATAGATATACTAGATGCTGAAATATACCTTTTTTGGAAGGCATAGGAGTAGTGCTGATAAACGGCACGATTTGGGTCGACTTTTAAAAGTGGCACGAATAAGATCTAGCCAAAATAATATTGTGTATGCCTCGAGATTTGTCAAATAGAGGTCCAAATCTTTTTGTCATCTATTAGCGAATTCATCAGGCTATTACTTTGGCTAAAACCTTAATCGGGCCCTTTTTAAAATTGACCAAAATCGAGCTGTTTAACCACTAATATTTAATTCTGTTGTTTTGGTAATTCTTTTAGAAAAGATGAATTTTTATTTGTCATTCTGAATCATTTGAATGGCATCCTAAATGATGAGTCAGAATCAGAATTCATATTAAATTCGTACACAGGTGTATCCAGGGGAAATCTTCCCTTCAGAAATTTGTCTGTTCTTGTAAATATAATTTTAAGCTATCTATACATACCACTACCCCACTCTCTCCACAAAATATATTCAATATATCACACTACAAACAAGAATCTGAATGAAAAATAAATAAAAATTTTTTTAAATAAAGACTAATTCAAAATTTATAGAAAAAGTGAAAAACCAAATTTATTTTTTATAAGAATATAAGCTAGCTAAAGGTCTATCTACCAATAAAATTTATGGAACAAAAACCCACTTAATAGTTCTTCCCCCCCCTTCCCCTTGCAAAATTCAGGCTCTATGATTCTATATATTTGATTCATTTATCATTATTAACTAGTGCTGTAAACGTTACTACAAAAAAGAAACGCGTTAGTTACTCGTTACATTTGAACTCGTAACCGTTGCTCGTTACCATTTTACAAAAGGAACGCGCGTTACCTACTTTTCAAAAAAGTAACGGGCTACTTGTTACTTAAAAAAATTAAATATTATATATAATGCACCGACAATATATAAAAAAATAAAACTATACAAAAAGAACATATAAGATAAGATCTTTTTATAATAAAATTTTCATATATAATTATAATATGATTAAAATTATACAAAAATAATATATTATAAGATAACATCTTTATGTAACAATTTTTTATTTTAACAACAATTGATTTTCAAAATTTTGATCAGATAAACATGAGCGCTTAGTACTCAACACAGCTTTCGCCGTGCTAAACACACGTTCAATTGGCGCAGAGGATGGGAAAGTGGTGTTATATTTAATAAACAAAAATTTCAATTCGGGGAATTTATTAAAAATATTTTAGGAATCTTTATTTTGAAAAAAGCTTGAAAGATTATCTTCACAGAGATCTTCATTCATTTCCTCATCAAAAAATAATTATCTTTATTTGAAAATATTCTATGTTGGATAAAGGAATCAAGCCTGTTCTTTCTTTATCAATATCTTTTCTCAAACTGAAGTTCCAGCATTCTTCCTTTATTGACCTCTAATTTTATCCAGGGCCAATCCAATTTAAATAGTGGGTGAATTATTGCCGATAGTATATATTCATCATTATAAATGTGTTTGAATCTATTGAAAATATGATAGTCAAATTATAAATTATAAGCAATATTTGAACTGTATACCTTTTATCTACCGCTTCCAGGATTGAATCAATAAGTGGCTTACAAAACTTAAAATTATTTAAAGCCATTTTTTTAAGTTTTGATATTATAATGGTTATAGTGGGAGTGTGTTCCCAAATGCATATTTTCTTCGCTCTCTAAAATTGAAAGAACCGTAGCTATCGAATACATGGTTAAATAATAAGATGCTATATATATATAGTATTAATAATAAAATCTATAATGAAAATTAAATAAATTTTTTTAAAATCATTTCATTAAGTTTTTATATGTTTAAAATAATTATATATTAATTCATTCTTTACCTTCAAATGTTTTTTTAAGTTAGAGCTACTTGACATTGACGTTGAAATATTTGCGTTGTGACATAATTTGCATTTACAAAGTGTAGACTTGGTACCATTAATTTTCTTAATTGGTTTAAAATATAATTCAAATTGGGGCCAGGGAAGTGTTAAATCTTCTTCATCTGAAGAAGTAAGTACTATGGACATAATATTCTTTTAAAATAAATTTTAAATTTTGATTGAATATTAATTTCGACTGATAATTTAGCAACTAGAATTTAAAAAAAAATGTTGGATGTGGTTAATATGAATTAAAACTCGGCTTAAATTATTAATATTAAGAATTAATAAATAGATAAAAGTAATTTTATAATACAATAAAATATGTTTTTCTTTTTATTAATATTTTTTAAGAAAAAATATAAAGTAACGTTTTGCGTTACCGTTACTCAAAAAAAAGAAACGCGTTAC